TCCTCCTGGATGATGGGGAACGACGCGGCCGCGAAGTGCCTGCCTGGTGGTGGTGGTACCAGCCGGTCGGCGCCGGCCACGTCGACCAACGGGACTGTCGAGACGCTCCAGCCCGCCGGGGGCCGGGTGGGCCCAACGACACGACCAAGTCGAGTCTCGTCCACCAGTTCCGCCAGGAGTTTCTCAGTATACTCGCCAGTCCTGGGCCTCGACGCGCGGTCCCTGACATAGCTCCACTTCACCGACGCCAAGGTGTCGAGCGACGCCGGGTTGGAGTATCGGCCGTCCGTTCGCAACTTCCAGCCCGGTCCACGCCGAAGCTCGCCCAACATGTCAAAGCCGTCCGTGAGGTCCGCCGTCATGCCTGCCACGTCCGGGTAGCCGATCATCCTCAGGAGATGCAGCACGACGCGGATCTGCGTGTGCCGGGCCTTGCCGGGCACCGTGTAGGTGGACCTGACGGGCGCCGACCGTGCCGCCAACCACTCCTCCGTGGTACCCTGCATATCCAGGACCAGCTGCGCCAGCTCGACCAGCACCTCCTGTCGCAGCCGGGCGACCTCGTGGCGCCAATGCGTCCACAGCTCCAGCACCCGTTCGAGCGCCGGCTCCAAGTTCGGCCGGCGTGCCACGGTGCAGTGTACCAGTTGGCCCGCCAGGCGCCAGTGCAGTTCCGGGTCGTCGTCGGGCAGTTCCAGGTCCGGTCGCAGGCGCGGCGGCGGCTCCATGGGCACCGGGCCGCCGCCAAACTGCTCGACCATCCACTGCATCGTGGAGCGTCTGGGTTCCGGGGCCGGTGCCGCCTGCACCGGGCCCGCCGCAGTCAACACCACCAGCATGGCCAGCAGCCGACGCGCCACTCGCCAATGCCAACCGTTGGCCAGCATCTTGTGCCGGGCCCGGTCGTCGAGGAAGTCGGCCGCCGTATAGCCGGGGGGCAGCATGTGCAGCTTCTCCTTGGCCGCCGGTGGGATGATGTGCAACCGGCCGGCGGAATCGTGCATCATCGCCTCCTCGACGTAGTGCCAGGGAGCAAAGCGTCGGCCATCGGCCGCCCATCTCGCCTTGGCCGGCTCGGGCAGTTTCTGCCGGACGCGCGTGGGCGCCGGTCGCCCCTGTTCATCCTCCGCCGGTGTGGTGGCGCACGGCAGCCGTAGCCGGCCCGACGTCACCGCCTCATGGAAGAAAAGGCCATCCGCTTCCATGTCCTTTGGCGGGGCCCGTGACGACTCCAGCCTGAGTGGCCGGAACGACCCCTGCTTGCCCCACTGGAGCTGCCGTCCCTCTGCCGGGTCGAGCGACATGGTCGTCACCGCCGGCGACATCCACGGGCGCGATATCCAGCCAAAGTCCGACGCGCAGGCGACGAACGGCTCCACCCCCAGGGCCTCGGACCTTGGGCTCCATCACGACGTTCTCGAAGAGGAAGCCCAGGCGGCAGTCGCCGATGAGCCCCGCCAGGTCGTGCACGAAGTCGACGGACTTGAGGAAGAGGCCGCCTCTGTCGCCAGTGTGGCCAGCTGCCGACCCAATTCGAGAGAAGTCCTGGCACGGAGGCGCCGCTGCGACGATGATGATCGCCCGGGCCTGGGGGTCGGCTTTCTCAATGGCGGCAGCCACCGCCTGGGCCGAGTCGGCAGTGAGGTCACCTCGGTTCGTCATCCACGGCAGCCTCGCCGACGCCAGCTTGACGCACAGCCGGTCGACCTCCCAAGAGAACGCCGCAACCGGCTCGCCATACAAGTCCTCAAGAATGGCGGGTGCGGCGCCGATGCCGTCGAACAAGGAGAGCACGATGTAGTCGATCCGCTTTCTACGTCGGCGAAGTGCCGGTCTGACAGCCAAGGTGGCGCCTGGCGCCGCGGGTCCCCCGTCCCCGTCCCCGGCTGTGGACGGGGGCCCGTGCTGTCCCTAGCGCCTCTTCCGATCATCGCCGCGACGGCCTTCCTCGCCGCGGTCGTTCCCCTGGCCGCGCCACTGCTGCTGGCCGCGCCACTGGCGTTGTCCACGCCTGTCCTCGTCGTTGCGGCCGGTCTGCTGGTAGCGGCCGCCGCGACGGTTGTCGTCATCCCGGTCGTCTCTGGTCCACCGCCGGTTGGGCCAGTCCGCCTCCCAGTCCTGGTCCCGGCCGTCCCTGCCTGTGGTGGTCCTTTGGCGCTTGCCTTGCCGGGACGCCGGCGGGTGCCTTTCCCCTTGGCCTTCCCCTTTGGCTGGTCGTCGGGCTCGCCAGTGTAGTCCTCGTTGGCCGGGGTGGCGTGGATCTTCTTGGCCGGCTGCCTGGACGCCAGCATCGCCTCGCTGAAGGCCAGGTTGTCGCCGGTGATGTCGCGCGACACCTCGTCGAAGGTTCTGCCGAGGCGCATCTCCGACGCAAGCCGGTGCGACGCGGCATCCCAGTAATCGACGACGGCGTCGAGTTGGTGAGACCGCAGCCTGGCCTTGCCGATCCA